TAAATTCTGCATTGTCAAACTTTGAAATCACTTTTTCAAACAAATATGCAAGAAAAAGATAAGCGTGTGTGCGCGTGTGTGTGCGTGTGTGTGTGTTGTGTGTAGTACAAGTATGTTTGTCTGTGTATGTGTGTACACATGCATGTATGTATGTGTGTTTGTATAAAATTACAATTTCTTATACAAATTTGTAGGCCATGGATTAAGAAATGATGTTAAGAATGTTTGTATGTATGCTTGGTTTGAATGTGTGCGTGTGTGAATGTGTGAGCGTGTTCATGGAAGCATGTAATTTAATTTATGTCCATGGTTTAACAAATGCTTAGAAGATGGATGATTACACGGATGGATGGATGGATGGATGGATGGATGAATGAATGAGTGAATGAATAAATGAATGAATGAATGAATGAACGAACGAATGAACGAACGAACGAACGAACGAACGAATGGATAAATAAACCAACTAACCAACCAACCAATCAACCAACAAATTAAATGAACCAAAATTATTATGTATTGATTGAATGATTGCAAAGAAAGAAGAAATTTGAAAAAATGAACGACTGAATGAATGAAAAGATGAATGAGATGGGATGAGAAGCAGTAGTAATAGCAATGAAGGATAAGCCTCTGGACCAAAAACTAATGTTACAACTGTTAAATCAAACAGCTCACTTAGTTGAAGTGTATGTTTAATAAGTTTGTTTGTATGCTTGTATGTCTGGTTGTATGTATGTATGTATGTATGCATGCATGCATGTCTGTTTGTATGTATGAATGTGTGTATGTTTGTATGTATATTTGCATGTAGGTGCATGTTTGAATGTTTGTTGTAGTAGCAGTAGTAGTATTTGTTTTAGAATTCATAAATTTCCTTTTATTAAAACATTCAGCCCTTCAAGTAATAAAACCTGATCTATTTATTCATTCATTCATTTAGGTTCATTCATTCATTCTTTGTGAATACATTCATCCATCCATCCATTCACCAATTCATTCTGTGGTTCATTCATTCATCAAGATAGAGATATATTCAAGGTAAAAAACAATTTGACTGACTGACTGACAACAAACATTTTGAAAAGTTTTCAAAGAAATTTAAAAACATGCATGCATATGCAATCACATACAAATGCACGCACATACAAAACATACACAAATGCATTCATACATGCATACAAACATACACATAATCATACATATATACATTCATACTTGCATACAAACATACACATAATCATACATATATACATTCATACTTGCATACAAACATACACATAATCATACATATATACACACATACATACATACATACGTACGTACGTACGTACACACACACACACACACACACACACACACACACATACACACACACACACATACATACATACATACATACATACATACATACAAACACACACATACATATCTATAT